GACTTTCGATCCGCGCGCTTTTCAGCTTAGAAGAATTTTTACTTTCGATCGGGAAGTGAACATGAACGAATGAGCGAGGGAACGAGAGAGAGACAGAGAAAGAGAGAGAGAGCGCGGGGTCGTCGATGACGACGATAAAAAAAAATCGGGCGAAGGTAGGCATCGCGTCTCCATATAGGGCGCTAACCAAAGCCGCTGGAAGGTCTTTTAGATCCTAACCTGGACCACTCCAAGCTCTCACGAGGTGTGACCTTAACCCCGCGATGAATTTGGGAGAGCTGAAGGCTCAATCGCTGCGTTGCCATCGACGGTGTCGACGAAGGCATTCTCGCGGGGTAACAAATGCGATCTCCTGCCTTCTCTTAATAACACGATGTGCCAACCTATTTCACTTTCTCTCTTCAATTGTCGCATCCCAGATAGCACGATGAATTCTTCAAGCGTTCCTCAGGTGTTTTCTTTTTTCCTGAATTGTAATTCTGCAGGAATTCATAGAAGAATATTATAAGAATGATCCAGGAAGTTACATGCACCATGATTAGAATTCCTGACAACTTCTTGGAGTATTCATATAGAATTACTTCATATTGGCAGATATATACTTTATGAACTCAAGAGGCATACAAAATACACAATAAACACCAACTTTAAAAGTGTAACGTTACGTGAATATTATAGAATTCTCTACGAATTTCTACCTCTGTGCTATCTAGGATGACATAGTGTTAATCTAAGAGATATGCGAAATTAAGGACAGTTCTAAAATCTCAAAATAAATCGCGAAAAGTTTATAATGCGAATAACGAGCAGTACAAGTGAGACATTAATGCGATAATATTACTTAAGAAATAAACTGAAGTTTCTAATAAAATTGTTGGGTAAAATTCCTTAATAAAGTTTCTTGACAAAACTTTTTGCCGGAAAAGAATTCGAGAGTTAAAAATTTCGTAAATAAAGCATCCTTTTTAATAAGAGAAACTTTCGGTGGAATGTTTCCAAAATTCCGTAGAATTCACTGGAATTGCTTCGAAATTTATCGATGCGATGTCCGATACGATTCTCGGAATGAAAATCGCGGGAGGAGATTTACGCGACGCGGACGACAGATCGGTCAAATAAACAGGCGGCAGTTGATGCACTGGCTGTCGCGCTATGCAACAGGTCGTCCCACGTGTTCGGGCTCGACGCTGAAGAAACACGGGAAGAGACATGCGCGGACGACAAGTCCGACGAGATGTTTGTCGCTCTCTCGCGATTTACAAGTCGCACACTTGACGTCTCGGCGGAATTTGCAATTCGGTCGAATTGCGCTCGCACGACGTATCTGCGCTCGTTGAAAGTACCATCATGTTCCTTTCCTTGGCGCGCGTGAAAGCCAGAGCTTGGTGGCGGTATATACAACGATCGTCCTTGCCCGGAGCGAAATGAAACGCGCGATTCCGACCGGGCATATTAGATCGTTACATTTTTCATCGCGCACGTGGCGCAAAGAGAGAGAGAGAGAGAGAGAGAGAGAGAACCGGCCTGTCGCTGGAATCTGCATAAAGACCGACGCGTCCGTCCGTCGTTTAAGTCCTTCGAAAGCGTGGACCTGGACATGCATATTGAGTGATTTCAGAAATCGAAGCTATGTCAGCGTGCAGGATTGGAATAATCGCGACGTTAAACAATTTTCTGCTTATGACAATTAATGGTATTACCTACATCGAAAGAAAAAAATGTTACATTCAAGTAAAAATTTGCTAAGGAATATCGGAGAAATTATTTTACCTGGACTAAGTAAATATTTTGTTGGAATGTAGCACTCTTTTTCTTTCAGTGCGCTGTAAAATAATCGTTCCATACTCCTTAGTAAATATTTACTTGAATGTAGTATTTTTCTTCCCTTTCAGTAATATAATAATTGCAGCCGATGAGCAGACTTCTCGCTCGAATGTATACATTTTTGTCTGACATATTAAATTCTAATTTTCATCTTAATTAATCCATAAAGCTCCCAACTACTCGCTGCGACGTTATTAAACAAGGATAGTCGCAGCGAACAGTCAGAAGCCATAAAATAAAAATAAAAATTAGGATATTACAAGATAAATTGTATCTTGATCTTTTATTTTTACTTTAATGTCAAGCAGATATCATGTAAACCTTAAACGTAACGCCTGCTTTACACGGCATGTCATGCGAAACCCGAGGCGTTACTCCGATTCCAATATCAGTGCGGTTTGATCAGCGCGATCACCTCGTCGCAACGTAGCTACGCTTTCGATATCGACCTAACGATAGATCAAGGGATGGTCTACCCTTTGCTTTCACTCGTACGCTATGACACGTCTTTGGCAGCAAAAACTGACCGATTGTGTACGACATGCGATCGTACTTTTCGAACGATTATCTCTCGTTTCAACGATCGCACACACGTTTTTCACGACCCACCGGAGGGTGGTCTATCGTGACAGCGTGTGAATTACGCTCGCCGCTGAGTAAGATATTCTCGCGGGCGAAAAATCCCCGCGGGTGAAAAATGCGCCTGATCCCGTAATAGTATGGCATTAGACGTCGGCGCTGGGCGAGTAATTGACGAGCGCTGACACGCAAACGGCTGTGATCGGCGCGCAATGATGCACGTACTGGAAAGATCATCGTTCCTTATTACAGGAATCGGACCGACCGTTTTTGCCGCACCGATCGTTCCGCCGCCGCATTGGGAAAACATAACGTCATCTCCGTGAACGCTCGCGATTTTTTGCGTAGTTTCGGCTTCCGATATATATTATATATATATACGGAATACGCGTATATGCACATATGTGCGGAGAGAAGAAAGAACCGGAGGCAACATAAAGGCGCGGCGTAATTAAGCCGATATTTTCACCGATACTTTTCCTCCGCGTCTCTGCGCGCAATCGAGAGCACGATTATCGCGCTGCGCTCGCCGCTTCTAAATGCCGCGTTTGTTTACCGAGCGCTTCGCAGACAGGGCCGGTATTAATGCTAGCGGGGATCCAAGTTCAACTGCCCGTCTCTTTGAGTACCGCTCAACCGGAGACAGCCGAGTTGTCAAAAAGAAACGCGATATTGTGCAATTAAAAGCATGGGAGATAATGTTTACGTTTATAAATAACTAAAGCTGGATAAAGCGGATGTTAAATGTCCAAATCGATGAAAAGTCTCAAATCAAATGTCAACGAGACGGCAGCAAATATGAAAAAAAAATGCAAAACTGGCTTCATCATATTTTATCCCGATGAAATATTGTATATTTAATTATGCATCAAGAATGCATACTCTTTCGTATACTGAAAAAGAAAAAAACTATTCAGGTAAAAAGTAGGGTACTAAGTATCAGGAATGCGCGAATTTTATTACACGGACCGCAATCGAGCGAAATTGTGTAACAATCGAGATAGATCCGCAAATAGACGTGAGCATTTAAATTGTAACATGTAGTCAACAAAATAATAACTTATCGACGTAAAAGAATGATTAGTCAACGACTTATTACCAAATCCTTTCTTCAGTGTGCCAAATTAATTACTTGACACACCAAATAAATTTTAAGCCTCACAGTACCTCCTGTCGTAGGCAAAGCAACGGCAAATGATCTTATTATCGAGTCGTTCGCTCGTGACACTCGAATCGATGTGACCGGCTTGAGATCGGCCCTGTCCGCTGATTAAAGCAAATATACCGCGACACTAATCGCTTATCGCTTGGAGCAAAGGGAATCCGCACCTGTGCACGAGCGTGACAGGTACTCGACGACGGTCGCTCCTGCGAGCGTGTGTCCTCGCGCGAAGAAAAACGAGAGAGAATCGGCCAAGCGCGGGCGGGAAGCGTCATCGCTTGTGCGGCTTGAAAAGCGTTGAAGTCTCCGCGCGCGCCGAGGCCCTGCGAGACGGGGAGAGTCGCGCGAGAGAGTCGCTCACAGGTGGGTCCGGCTTCGGAATCGCGCTCGTGATCCGCCGGTGTCCGCGGCGTATTTCTGGCGAATTTGTTTAACATTCGGCGAGCGTGTTCCGAGTGAGACGAGAAGACGAGACACGCGCACAGCCTTGAGCGGAGAACGCGCGGCGAGAATACGAGCGTTCATCGGCGCGCGTTCAGCGGCACAAACGTGACCGATCGGCGCGGAGCTTTACCCGCTCTTACGAAACGAAATATTGTGCACACACATTCGTCTGTGTCGCATTCTAATGTAAGATTAATATCACCTTAAGACGCGATGCCTTCTCGGTTAAATGCGGAAGCATCTGTTATTGAATGGCATCGTGAAGTGCGATAAAATTAATCGGAATTTGAAAGGAATTTGACTAATGTATGATCAGCCGCGAAAAAATTGCAATGCTTTTTTTAATAAATTTTTTTTTCGTTTATTCTTCTTTAAGTAAGATCGCATCCCGCGCATTTTCTATCTCCGATAGGAAAATTTGTCCTCCGGTAATTTTCAGGAGATGGATTTTCCCATCGGATGCGAGACACGCTGGGAAACTCATCGAAAAAAAAAGTGTTGCGACCTTTTTGCAGCTGACCGTACACTCCCGATGTAATTTCAATCGCGCGTTTCCCGCACTCGGCCCTTGACAAAAAAAGCATCACCGGCTCTGACAAATTGGCCGGTGATAAATCACCGCTGCTCGGTAATTTCATTATTCGTACGAGTAAAAAACTACCGAGCAACGGTAATTTGTCACCGGCCAATTTATCGCAGCCCATACGTTTTTGAAAAAAAGCTGGCTCGATATTGTTCAACGATAAATTAGATAAATCAGCACGAAGATGCGTCGCGATGTCACGTTTCGCGCGCGACAGATCGGGAATCGGTTGTCGCGGGATTTTCCGAAATTTCCCTTTCGGCCTCGAGTCCGGCGACTCGGCCGGACATTTTCAAAATCTCTCTCAGCCCGTGCGGTAGCGCCGGACGGTGGCTGAAAAGCGGGGAACGAGATCGGCCTTCGGCGCGAAAGGCGAGCGTCAACGCGCTCATGGGGGGGGCCCCTCACCTGCTGCCTCACGTCCTCTCATCGGAGCAACGCGACGACGACTCCCGGGCCGACGGCGGCGCACGGCCCGACTGGCATCCTCGGTTCGCGGAGCGGCACGCGCGCACGCACTTTTTTCGCCGAGCAGTGGTTCGCGGTAACTGCGCGTTTCAGGAGCCCGCGACGACGACGACGCGACGTCCGTCGCGATCGCGCGCGCGATTCGTCTGCGCGCGTGCGCGATAGGATCCCCTTCCGCTCGATCGCGTGTCCCCTCCGCGATCGACGCGAGCTTCCTCTCGCTCCCCGCGAACCTTCTCCCTCCGCGTGTTTCGTCGTCGTCGTCAGGGTTCTCGGCCGAAAGAGAGAGAGAGAGAGGGACGACGCGACGTTCTTCTCTTCCTCGGCGGTTCATCGGTGTGCACGCGCACGTTCGAATCGGCATACGTCGCGCGCGTGTGCCCGACGTAGGCGGAATTCGGCGAAACCGAAGTTATTGACCACCGACCGACCATCGGCGCCGTCATAATCGCCGATTAACGAGCCGATGGATCGCGTTAAACGCGATTTCGCGGCCCTCGCGTCTCCTTAACGCATTCATCGCCGTGCCAATCGCCGCCTTTCGACTGAAGTTTGCGTAAGCAAAGACACGGCAAATAAATGCAATTGACGCATGTATCTGTAGACTTCACGTACAAATGTTGAAAAGACATCCTAGAGACGTTTCAGGGATGTTCGAGTATTCTTGGGACGTCTCTAAGATGTCTCTTGAACATTTGCGCTGTATGGGTCGTCTCGTTACCTCGCTATTGATTTCGCTTGTTTGATTTGTCACTGGCAATTCGTCGTGTCTTCCATTGAGTAAACCGATGAGACGCGGCAATCTCGTAGCGCCGGTCCGCCCCTCCACGGCAATTAACGCGATAACGATAATTCCTTATTTCCCCAAATCTGCATCCCCTCCTTGAGAAAAGCAAGGAGGCGGTAAGGAATATGAAACAAAAGAAAGAGCGGATGCAGGACGGAGATCGAGACGGGAAATAATCTCTCTGTGTGTGTATATATAAATAAAGTTATATTATCGTACCGTACGGAATATACACGGATCACGGATGACCGCTCTGTCGACAGGATTAAGTGAATTAAATTAATGCATTTAGCGACTCGGGAGTCCTTGATTCGGCTCGAATCTGATTAGAGGTCGATTAGAAACGTTGATGGAAGTTCGACGGCTGCGTCGGCTGGGCAGTCGAGTAGACCATCCCCGGCGGTTGCTGGTGGGTCATCGCGTGGCTCTGATGCTGATGGAACTCCGGCGCGCCGTGCGGTCCGTTCAGTCTCACCCGTTTCGCGTTCTGCCCGTGATTGTGGTCGCCGTTACCTTGCTGCTGCTGATTTTGCTGTTGCTATTTTACGAATTACTCGAATGAGCGACAAAGGGGGGGGGGGATGTGAAATTCGGATCAATCCTCAACTACCATATAGTGGTGTTACAAAGCGGCAACGTGGGTCAAGAGTGTCGCGCTCCTTGTCACTGCGGCGGTCATACAGAGCCGTCAGAAACAATAGTTAAATCATACTTTTCTTTTCTCTCTCTCTCTCTCTCTCTCTCTCTCTCTCTCTCTTTTCATTTCTTTCTTTTTTCTTCAAAAGAAGCACCCCGAAAAAACGTAAAGCTAAGAGATACATACTTATTTGGATATTATAAACTATTTGTACTGAAGTATCTTGTTATAGTAGTTGCGGCTTAAACCATATATGTGTGCATGTGTGTGTGTACGCAGATATATATATATATATATATATATATATGTATATATGTATATATATGTATGTATGTATATATGTATAAAGTACAATATAAATATTTTAACATGTTACTCTTTAATATATTTTGGAAGTAAATACCGTTTGCTGTTGATTCTGTCTCGCTTTGTTTTCAGTCTTTTCTTCGGTATCGTCGTCCGTGAGGAATTCTCTCTTAGGATAAGGAATAGGGCATCCGGCGAATATGCTGCGGGAGATGATTCATATTTGAGCAAATGCGATTCGAGAAGATTCGCAAAGATGCAAATTACCATCATTTAATAGCGCATATGTGAATACGTACTCTTGAGTTGGCAGTGGCTCTTCTTGGAAGTAGGCATCCTGCATAGAATGTTCCGACGTGATACGTTTGTTCGGATCCATCATCAGTAGTTTTTGCAACTGAAACGATAAAACGATTAAAATCATCGCGTCCAACGGGCTGTTGAATTGAACGATTCTTCTCATCATTTTCCTACCAAATTAAATGCCTTGCTATCAGGTTTGATCTTATGCCGATCCATATATTTAGTAAGTGAGCAGTTCGCATAACTGTAGAGAGAGAGAGAAAGAGAATAAAGAGCAGAATTAATAGTGTATTCAAGGATTTTTGAAATAAGATATTGGCGGACGGCTTTTCTTTTATAAAACGGCAGGCTTACTTGGATCTCTTAAAGTCTTTCAATAATGTAGGATGCTCCGGCATCTTCTTAATATCCTCCCAATCCTTCTCCAATGGAAATCCCATCACATTAAATATCCTAAATATAAATTATGACTTATTAGTTTGTTATTTAGTTTATTTAACATCACTTATTATTAACACGTTGAATGCCAGGCGCATTTCGGAGGAAATCTCGTTCAGGCCAAAAAATTAAAATTTTTTGATAAGAAATATTTAAGTATATTAATTATACGTACCTGAAATTACTTATTAAACTATGTAATTTTTTTTGTTTTATATCGTACTTTATACTGTCAGTCACCGGTGACTGACGTAGCACTCAACGTGTTAAATCAAATATAGAGCTTAAAAAATCACACTACACTCCTTGCTCACCTATCTAGCTGATCGTGATGGTATGGATTACTAGTCTTGATGTCTTCTTGTCTGCAATGAAATATAGGTTCGGATGTTAAGAGCTCCGCAAATATACAGCCGATGGCCCAAATGTCTGCAATTACAAGACGGGATATTTAATATATACTTCACTTCGCAAAACGTAGATGCAACGTTACCACACATTACAGACCTATAGCTTTCGTATAATGTCTGGCACCTAGAAGTAATTCCGGAGCTCTATACCAAAATGTTACTACAACCGGATCTAGATCCGCTAAAGGTTTAAGAGGAGCATTAAATAATCTAGCAAAACCCATATCGGCAATTTTCACGCGTCCCCGCTCATTTCCTTCACCCATTACTAAAATATTTGCTGGTTTCTGAAATAGAAAACATTAATTTTGTTAATTCATAATCAATAAATATAGCTAAATGTATATATAGTAGCGACAATTACCAAATCTCTATGGAGGACCCAGTTGGAATGTAAATAATGAATACCATCTAAAATTTGATATAATAAGGATTTCACCATGCCTTTCGGTACCATTACTGGCTTCTTATTAGCCTTCGCCGCTCTATGAAATTTTATTATATGCTGCAAATAACAGTCATAGTTACACAATATGCACCATATTATTCCTAAATATTTCCTCTCGATTTCAAGATTGATGATACAATAGTAAGGCAAGATTAAACATACCCATAAGTCATGCTCGGCAAAGTCAAACAGCAACCATACTTTACGGTCATTATGTGAGAGAAAGACACGAATAAGAGTAATGACATTGACATGCTTTAATTCCCTGAGTAACTGCAAATAAAAGAGATACGATGAAGCTTCTCTGTTGTGAGCTTGTGAATATATTCCTGTATTCTGAACTCTTTTTTATCGATAAAAGTGCCTTAAATATAACTTCTCAGCCAATTAGGTGGTTCCTAAGCTACTTTTAAAGGCATTTTTATTGATAAAAGAGAATATGTTCTTCAGGCCATGTTCTTATATTTCGTTTAAGAGTAAGGAAATACTTACAGCAATTTCTCGACATGCAGACATCGAAAGTCCTGTACCTTCAATTTGCTTAAGGCCAAAGTCCTTTGTATCAGGCCGAGACTTTAATTCACTATCTGGTACTCTGTTTACAAGATATATGTATATTATAAAATTACAGAATATATATGAGACGTTCTTAAATATGAAATTAGAATTCTCTCTTGACTATACAACGGTAGAAGTATTAACTGAATACATATACGGACTGGACGATAATTGTTTCGATAAATTTACAAGAATTAATACTAATTAAGAAATCGTCAACTAATGCTGTATACAACAAACATTATACACACGGATTCTGTCTAAAAAAAATTCAGCAAAAAACGATCGATAGGATGAAGACAACGAGTGCTTCTACATGGACAGGAACTCGCAACTTCGGGATAGGTTTGCAAATTTCGGAGCGGTACGAATCGATATTTTTTTACTGCTCCGAGAGAACTATGTGATGAAGCTATCGTTGATGTATGAACAGTTGACGGAGAGACGAAACCGAGAAACTTCTGCACAAAATTGCTCAAAGTCAGGTTAGGGAAACTAACCCTTCTTTCCTACGGGCCTTGTATACGTGCCCGTAAGTACCTCTCCCGACCTTACATCCCTCAAACTCGAATAGATCCTCGACCTTCGTACGGTCTTTCTGAGTTTTCATCTTAAATTCATAATCCATCATGCTTAAATTTTATCAGTACATTTATCAACTATAAACAAACATCTTTAATAACGCGCGAGCACACACACGAGCTCTTGGCAGACACTACGCGCGTCAGACACGTCGGCTAGACTGGAGACGGTAGGGATGAATGACGATCAACAAATGAATCGATCGTTCGGTCTCTTCTCCTTCTTTTCTGTTACAGAATCGGAAGGACTCTTGTATATTTCTCATTAATAAATATAAATTAAAGCTTATTCGACCGGTTGTTCGGTCACAGGACGGTTGCAACAGTTTTTCTTTCTCATATTTCGGAACGCATAAAAATTGAGCGGTCGCCATTTTTCGTTTAACCCAAAAAATCTTGACGAAAATTAATGGCAACATTAATATAACTAATGTGGTTAAAAACTAGAGACTTCAAGCTTTAAAGTGCTTTTTGAACGACCTTGATAGCATCATTATTGCAAAAGTTACAGCATATTGAATTTCGCCTATGTTTTATTACAGTGGAAAGTACGTCTGACCAGCCCTTAAGTCATATTACTTGAGAAATAGAAGTACGTCTGACTCCATCGTTTAGTCATATCACGACTTCATTTTTTTTTATTGCAAGGGTGTACAAAAAGGAGTACAAGGTCTAGGAACTTAGCCTATCCGACTCGCATCACTACCTCAATTTCTCGTTAAGTATAGTGGCGGCTCGTAGCGGAGATCCTGGAACTAAATTTCAGAAATAACGAGTCTAATAATTCCGTAGACCCGTGCGTGCATAGTACTGTTCCAGCTAGGAAGGTTACGCGCGCGCGTGGACCAGGAACAGTTGTAAAGTAATCAATGATTACTCATTAGTTGACGCTGCAAAACTTCGATGCATAGTGATCTGTGATATTAGTTGTCAACATGCCCGCTACGGCTATGCATAAATTAATAACGTTTATAGGATTTACGTCAATATTACATGCAGCTTATTCCGCAGCGCAACGTGAGTACTCAATTTAACATTTGCTCTCATCGTTCTCACTCGATTATGTTTCTTTTAGGTTAAAATGGCGATTAACTATTGAACGTTGCAATAAATTTTCTAATGCGTTCATTCCAGCGCTGTATTTTCCATAATCCTGAGATAAAATGTTTTGATTAAAATGATACATGTATAAATTTCGAAATACATATAGTTAGAATGTCGGGAGAGAAAAAGGAGAAAAATAACAAAATAGAGAAAATAGCAAAAGGAAATTACCTTATGAGAAAATTTTATGTTTACAGATCGTTCATATTTGCGAATCACCGAACAGGAATTTACCACTCTGCCAATTGATGTAAGACACATTTTTTTGATACCTACTGCTTGCTTATGTAAAGAGCTTGGGATTGGTATAACTTATACAAGCTATCCCAGAACTTAAACAGAAGATATCCTTAGGATATTTTCTATATATATAGTACATTATTAGAATTGTATATTTTTATATATGTTGTCATACTGTCTTAAATTGTTACAGATTTTAATTCAAGGTATAGCCAGTTTGTTTATTGTCATGTATGGTGTCATGTACATAGCTGGCGATTTCAAAGAAATTCGGGCAGTTGTTGATCTGGAAAACAAATCTTGGGAGACGCTAAGGAATCTGCCATCATTCCAAATATTCAATCACCGTGGAAGATCTCTCTCTCCGAAACATATCTCAGGACTATGAATGAGATACTATTTTGTACCAAATCACTAACAAAGATATCGGATACATAGATTTATTTATGTTTTTCATTTGTATCACGTCTCTCAATTTGGTAGAGATGTTCGAGAGAATAGTAATATAAAATACAAATAATGACTTTAAATACATACTTGTAAATGTAATGTTTGTGTATGCACAAGTCTCTAAACAAATTTCTATCAATGTGTTCAGCTATTCACTGTAAACTTCTATCGTAAATAGAGTTTAATATGTTGAAACTAGAACATGAGGGGATATAAAGATTGTGACGTGGCTTTGTGGACGCCCGCCACAAGAGGCGAGTGCCTTCGAGGAGGCACTGTTGCGTGGGTCGTGTTCTTCGCGACTTTTGGAAAGCTTTTTTCAATTATCAGGAATCGCGCACTTTCCGTGCGCGAGTCTGTTTTTGATGGTCCTCGTATCTTCTACATTTGTACAGTCTCAGCTCTATCCGGTGGCAAGAAATAATGGAGGACAACCAGGACGGGGAGAGACGAAGCCTCTTCCGATTTCCCGATTCGAATCGTTTCGGAGAAGCGGTCGCAAAATATGAAAAAAAGGAGCAACCGAAAATATCAAAACCGTTACAGCTACGTGTACATATACAAGCATGAAATTCAATTAATGATTTATTGCTGAAAACAAGTGACACCAGATTGTGATCTTCCTCTGTAATTGTAATTCAAATTGCGAGATCTCAAACACGGTGAGTGGTTTTTGTATATGCATTTCACACAATTGTGGCAGTAAATAGTATGAATAAAAAAGTTTCGCAGTTTCGTCGCACTTCGTTTCTCCATTCTTTACCTAATTGCGGCATATTTATTTTACGAGAAAAATTAATAATAATATAATTGAAGTGTATCAGGGCACAAAGGCATCACTTTTTCTGTTTTTTCTTCTCAGCTTCCGCCTCTTTCTCCTTCTCGATCTCTGTCACGTATTCGCCTATAGTGTCTGTGTCTAGCATCTGTGTCACAAAGAAGTTTTCGTTATGGCAGATATTTTATCAAGAAAATCATACAATTTGATGGGAAACCATAAATATATATATACCTGCAACGGTTCCCCGCGTCGCATCACCGCTATTTCCAAATTCTTCTGTCCGGACTGAACTACTTCGAGTAATGCTCTGATCGCTAATTTTATAGAGCCTCTTTCCGTCGACACCTCTTCCGCAGTATAATACTTCTCCAAAAATTCGTGCACAGTCTTGGCACTGCGACCTGTTGCATTCGCCTTTGGAAGAAGTAAAATCGATATATATGATTATGTTAATATTAATTTATTAAATATTAACTATATCTCCAATTATGTGATTGACTATTATGATATACTATACTATACAGGGTGTCCTAGCATAAGGAGAACACCTAAATATGGGAATCTTAAAGGCAATCGAAACATCTAACTATAAAAAATTTTTCTTCCACGATATTCCTCCTTCGAAACCATTCAAACCATACTTTAAATATATTTCTCATATTATTAAAAACAAGGGAGATATTTAAGTATTTTCCTTATGCTGGGACATTCTATAATAATTCCAAGATAAATGATTTATCTATTGAAAAATAGAACAAAAATTCTCTTTGTACTTTGAAAGACATTTTAAAAGAAAATAAATCATAAAATGTTAATCCTTATAAAGTTATAAATAGTTAAATCGGGACCCTGGTAAAGTAGAGATAGTATATGGAGGATTAAACAGACCTAGAAATCAGTTTGATTATTACCTTCCACTCGTAATATATTCCTGATGGTTCTGTTTGATACAGATGTGGCATACCGTCGTAGTCAAACCCAGCTAAGAGGCAGGATATTCCAAAAGGTCTACGGCCATTACTTTGCGTATATTTCTGTTTTAAACCTGCAAACAATAAGCACGCAAAGTTAATATGTTAATCTCGAACGATTCAAACTTCAAATTAAATTTAAATTGCAATCGCATACCTGCGATATACCTTGTTATGTACTCCAAGGTAACAGGATCTTCTACAGTTAATTTGTGACTCTGGCACTCGATTTGTGCGCGATTGATTAATACTCTCGCGTCAGCAGTTAAACCTGTTGTAAAAGGAATAATAATTATTGCTTCCTGACAAAACCAACATTTATCTCAGTATCCATTATCTTGTATATGGTACCTGCAAAGGCCATAACTACATGGTCATCCAGGAGGCATATTTTGCGTACTGTGCGCTCCTCTTGTAATTTAGCCACTGACTTCTTCTCCACACCTAAAACCACCACGTCAGCTCCACGTACACCAACCTGTCCTTACAAAGACATAATTTATATATTATATAAAAATCTATTTTAATAAGAATTCTGTGCAGCTACAATTATGTATAAATCTTCAACACAATTTTATAAGACTAATAAAAATAATATGAAGAAAAGAGATATAGATGATATTTCCAAAATTGAATAACATGATATCTATTATTGATGCAGCATGTGAAATCGGTAATCTTCAATGAAACTTCTCAGTATCTTTCTCGCAACAGTGATTTCTCAAAAATTCTTTGACGTATGACGGGATATGTTGATACAAAACTGGTGGCCCTAACCTAGCTCGGAAAAATCGCAACGTCATACTCATACCGGATGAATGAAGCGGCTCGAGGCAAAAAATTAAATCCGTTCGTACAAGATTCAAGTGATTTTAGATCAGTGGGTGGACAAGAAGAATCTTCAAGAGGCAGAAAGCAACTACAGAGTAAGAGTAGAGAGGTTATGTCAAACTGCTGAGCGTACCGCAGTCGAGCCCTTCTTGACGGCCTCCTGAGCATATTCCACCTGGAGCAGATGCCCGTCCGGCGAAAACACCGTGATCGCCCTGTCGTATCTCGCCGTCATTCTTTCGGTCGTTGAAAAATCGCACGGTTCGACTCAAACTCAAAATGACTCCACCGTTTTCCGAGCAGTTGCAACTGCACTGCTTCGTTCCGGCGCGCGGACATGAACATGACAACGCATTTCCCTAGACGCCGAATGTCCCCCGGACGGATTTCTATGAAGCGCACATGACCGACTTCACCAGTTCTTTTCGGTCGTTTGAAAACTTCCGTTTTCTCCGATCTTCCAATTTTTCTCTCTTTTCTCTTTCAATATTTAGCTATGTAATTGTTTTATTTTAAATACAAAAATATAACTATTATATTAAAAATATATATTGCAACTATATTTTACTGAAAAAAAAAAAAACGGGTCTGATATTATAAAATATGTAAATTATGTCAGCCTTTTTGTTCTCGAGTATAAATAAATGCATATGTGACATTTACTTTTGTAAAATTTATGATAAACTGTACACTATGTGAAAATAATCTGCCAGGGGAAAAATGATTATATATGAATTTTGTCTACCCAGCAGAAAACCAAGTTGCAGTTACATAACTGTTAGTTATAATTTTCTATTCAACAATATAACTATTGATTATGTTATATAACAATTACATTGTTGAATAGGGAATTATAACTAACAGTTATGTAACTTAGTGTTCGCTAGGTATATATATCTATATATAATCATATATAATTATGCTTTGTCGTGTCCGGATAAAAAATGTAATCGTATCTTCTCGGCACGCATTTGTCAACAGTTCAAAAACAAACGAAAATGTGGCGCCGTCCTTCGCGCGCGCCCACGATGTAAACACTTAATTCTTCTGCTTTTCATTTAACAGTATTTTTATTTAATATGGATATATATACCTATATTATATATATAATTATATATAAAATATATATNCATTTTTATACAACAAAATTATATATATATATATATATATATATATATAATTATATATATGAGATATTTTTTCCTAAAACTGCATAGCTATAGTAATTAATTAAAAAAAACTTACGTGTCTCTGTACTTCCCTGTGATTTCCTCCATTGCGTGACATTTGACATAGTCTCTCGGCATATCTCCGTCCGTCAGAAAATCCACCACGGAATCTTGATCTTTTATTCTTATGGGAATCCTAATAGATACAAATTTCGAAACAATTTTGCACATTTTAAATATATTCTTACCGATCATCGAATTATGTAACAGAAACAAATTTAGTTTATTTAAATTCAATTGCTGTTCGGCGCGCAACCCGGCCACCAAGAGCTCCCTCTTCCTTGGTAACGTTGTTTGATAAAAACGTTAATTTATTTATATAACGCGAAAAATGTTCTCTACATAAGAATAGTGAGATGAAAAAAAAAGCAACGCGGGAGATGCATAACAGGTGTCGCAATTGCGCGTATCGTGCGTTTCATTTCCGACTATCTACTTTCAACAACGTTATTAGTTTCGGATAAGATAAATCGATCGATATTAATTTCGGCATTTCCCGAGATAAGATTTCGCGAGCCTTTACATAAAATCTACGAGACGCGACGCACTTAAAAAAGCATGTCCGTTTTGGTTTCCGGCTACACTCGAGCGCGAACGCGGGAGGGGACGGATAGATAGAAACGGTATAGCCGCTCTTATAAGAGAAACGATCGGCTTAGAGGTTTAGTCAAGCTGCTCGCTCTGTCACGGCTCCGTGTGTCACGTTCTCCGGTGCAACATGATCGGGTCCGTATATATTTTCTTTTTTATCGTTCGACGTGCAAGTAACAGGCAAAAGCGTCTAACTGGTGTCACGAGTTTGTGTAACTTCTCTTCTTTTCATTCTTTTTTAATCTATTTTCTTCTGATCCTTTCACTTCACCTGAGTCACACATCATGATTCACACAGGAAGGATTTTAATTCACCAGGATCGAGCGGTAATTCTCGGAGATGCATATACATAAAAGCAGAGTCATGCAAAATCACTTTCCCACGTGATCGTTGAAGATCGATACCGCGAGACCTCTCGGTTCCCTTTTCTTTCTTTCGCTTCACAATTCGCTTTCGCGTAGTTCAAATCAATGCGAATGTGCATACTTGTGATCTTCGTGAGACGTGTTTGCCAAGTCTCGTTTTTCGAACATACGCCGTCAATGTGCAGTCGAATAATACATTCTCACACAAGCCCTCGCGTAAGAGAGATTTGGACAAGAGCAAACAAACGTAATATTGCGAAAAACAGAAATCACGACGACGATGTTAATTACGGCTACACGTGGCTTAAATATGATAAATGTGATATTCGGGTATTTACTATTCGTCATAATGATAAGCGACATAAAAAACTCAAAACCAGTAAAAGTATATCTATTTTTCGCGGTGCACTTCCAAATATTACGATTAAGGAGTTGACACAATATTTGACGAATATTAGCCCCGTTGTCGCAATAAAACGTATTCCGATTTTCTCATTCTTCTGATGTTTGTCGTCTTCCAACTAGCTCGTGCAGATAAAATCGCGAATAATAGCTCCGTTAACATTCTTGCGTTTATCAAGGGATTCGCACGTAACGTCGGAGTGATCATAAATCGAACAAATCCTGAGCGGAGACAAAAGTCATGAATATTTTCCTTCGTCTTGAGGATGAAAAATTCGATGCCACGTTGCGAATCTCTTCTCTCGCTTCTCGTTTCTCTTTTCGGGCGAGGGATGCGACGACAGCAACTCTTCCGTAAATAGAGAGCATTGCACATTAACGAGGGACGAGATCGCCTCACGGTACTCGAGCAATTAGCAATAGCGCAATTACCTGCAATTAATTCGCCGTATGCCGCAATCGCGCGCGGAACGTAGTAATTGTCATGTACGTGCACGCAATATAGCGGCGGCGGTGGTGATTGTGGCAGGCGGCGAACGCAGTTGCATGCATTTTTCCGAACAAGATAAATGAAACAAAGAAATATTGAAGGTACTTCCGATTCCGAAAATAGTATTTACTTTTAACTTCAGGTCTTATCGGCTGGTATTGCGCGTGATAACTGCACGTTTCGTACAACGACGCTCAACGCTCGTCCCCATGCGCGTCGTTTTGCATTACAATTGCAAAATCACCCAACCGACCATCGTACCCGTAGATAAAGATACATACGTAATTTATCCGTGCACTCAGTTCAGTTACATGTTGTACAAAAATGCGCATTAGGATAAAACATGTTAAGAAAATTTACGACTTTAATTTTGATAATCGGGGTTTCCACATTGTGAAGAAATGTTAGGTTTGGTTTTTCGGCCAAAGCAGCGTTTTTTTGTAGATTCATTCACTTCGTAGATTTCTAACGTTTCGCAACGTTTTGTTTTAATTTATATCAAGGAGAAGAATTCTCTCTGATAAAGCGAGAATTTTAAGTGCATTTAAGTTCACGGGGAAGAATCCTTTCTCTCTCTTTCTCTTTCTCTTTCTATAACAAATTCGTAGAAAAAAATGCAATAGCAAGTTGGTTATTCTTTTTGTTTTTTAAACAAAAGAAGAACCTTGAGTTTCCTGTTATTTCTCGTAACCTATATTTTTCTTTGCTGTTGAAAACGTAGTGGATTGAAGATGAATTACACGATAACATGCATTTTTATTTTTATCTGAATTTAAGCCAGTGATTAAGTAAATGAAGCGTTCAATTCTACATTGCAGCGCTGCGATAAGCACACGCGACATACACACGTGTGTATATGTTCGACAACGTGAATCAGTCGCGTATGCTCGATAATTCGCGAAAAAGCGATCATGTGTGAATTGTTTCGACCTGTGATGAAAGATCGGCACGTTCTTTTCAGGGTATTTCAGTTATCTTCGCTGGAATTTTGTTAATATTGCACGCAAGGATGCATCGCGGAAATTACCACGATAAAACGCTTTTATTCCCAGTTTGCAGCTCAAAATACCCCTTAAATCATATACTGAAAAATAGATTTAATAACATTATCAGGTTTTGATGAAATATTTTCAACTAAATTGTTTGATTACTGCAACCAAATTATTTAATGCCATGTACTGTAATACCATATATTACATATATGGTACTAAATAATTTGGTTGCAATAACCAAACAATTTAGTTGAAACTATTTAAACAAATCTTGGCAATTGCTATCAAATCCTCTTTTTAGTGTACTTAATTCGAAAAAAAATTTCACTCTCGATATGTTGGTCGTTCGATATCCATGGGTTCAAAATAAATTTAATACGCGACAAAAATTCGCGATAAAAATTCGCACCTGATAAGATCTAAAAATTCAGGTCCACGTTTATCAAGGATACATAAGTATATTAATCCCTCACTCGCTTTCTACTCCGTCTATCTTTATTATATCTTTATTGTACGTTAATGCGGCCGGATTGACGAGGAGATAAAATACCTTTAAAAGTACGTTCGCGCAGTTGCGACACGCATATTTGTTCGAGCATCTTGCCGAAATTAATTAATTGGGTAAGTACTTTTCTTTTAATTTTTCTTTTCATGTTTAAATTTCTGCTCACTTTGTTATCGTCATGTTTCGAGATATTACGCTAAGATGTGCTGATGTACGATGGGCTTGTCTTGAAACAAAGGTACGATACAACGGCGACCATAATTCGTCGCGCGAATTCACGCTGAATGCGTTGAATGAAGTTCCAACGTGTCGTGCAATCTCGGCAAATCGCGTAGCAAAGCGACCCGTATGCATGTAAATCTGTGATCGCGCGATGATAACTGGATTACATGTTCTCGAATCAACGACGTCAGACGCGCGCGGTAAAGACGACGATTGCGTCGTATATCTCACGTGAACGATAATATATTTCACGCTTTTTCTCGAAGATATAGATAGTGAATAACGCGGCGAATATTTTATTAGTCGCAAAACTTTCTCAAATTCAAGGTCCATTTGAAACTTGAACCGTCATGCTTGCGCTAACTAATACCGCACCGTCGCGTTATCTGCCGCAATATTAATTTTTAGCGCGATATGTTAATTTCATACGACAGTAAGGTCCCTTGATTAACAATTTCTCGCGAAGCTTGCTCGCGAAGCTTACTCGCGAAGCTTACTCACGAAGCTTACTACACGCTACCGTATGAAGTGATTTCGTATCGGAAAACGAACATTAATGGATTACACGGAATTATTTTCCTTCGCCTGTGTTATTCGGTAACTTATTATTCGCGTTTTTCACCGAGACGTTGATGAATCTTTGTAACTACGACTGCACAGGTATATAAACGCGGTCATGGCGAACCATTAGAGCATAGTCACGGCCGCGTGTGACCGGTGTACCGACAGACGCACGCCAAATGTGCCGATTCTTAACCCGTGCAGATACCATCGCGTCACACCGATCTCTTCCACCGACGATAATCGTCCAAAGCAATTGGACTTCCTCTTGATTTCGTCGCATACATCGCGATGTACTTCCTACAATCAAAACAGGAAACGTTCCTCACTACGTTTTAACAGAACCTGCAAATTTGCAAATCGATTTAGTCGCGCGCGTCAAGTGGCTCTCGCACAACTGGACTTGATTAGATTCGCAGTCGGTGATGTATAAAATGTATGTCTATGAAAATCTTGATACGTCGAATGTCATGCAAATGTCGAATGACCGAAGAAGATATAAAACATATTGTCTTAGCAAATAAGATAAACTGCATGTTTAAACAGATGTGTTTGTTATCTCTTATGTAATGTTCGATTTTTATGCTACGTGTAGCTTTCTACATGGCGTTTGATTTTGTTTCGTAATGTATGTCAGTGTGGCATGTCGATATGCGTGACGTTACGTCATGATTACCGGTAATCAAGGTCGTTGAGAGTGAGTTCGGAACCCGACAAACAAATCCTTTTCGTGAAACGGAACAGAGATGAGCCGAATGAATTAATTTCTCGTCGAGATGATTTCGCGCGAATATGAATTTCAATATCTCGTCTTTAATGTCTTATTTTTCTTTGTGTACTTCGTGCAGTGTGAGGAAAAGATTCATCGTAGTGGGAATGAGCGCGGCTACGCTTCTGGGCATTCTTATGGCGATCGTGATCGTCCTTGTCACGCGAACCACAGGATACGAATGTGGCCCGAAATTCATCAGTCCTTCGAAGCTAGGCCTCTACAAAAAGGTAATGCATCCGATTAACGCAAGATAAAAATAAAAATTCACTCCGGTCGGTATTCATAATAGTAGATCATTTATAGTGACTTCGACTGAAATAGTTAACTACAGATTAGTATTCGCAAATTATCCATATAGCTGTGTAACTCAGTATTTTTTCTGTAAAATTAACAAATAATTTTATTACGATTTGTGTAGTTCTGATTATTTGTTATAACTTGTCATAATTATAGAATGATTATGAATATTGATTTTAATGTGATATAATAAAAACATCTTGCTATGAAAACGGAAGAATGCAAGCATGCATAATTTAATTTTGATTTTTAGCTAGTAATTTCGTTTCTAATATTAATTTCATTAATTTTTATTCTCAGCTATAATTTATCAACTCGATACTTTGTGTTGTGTAAAGGAGGCGAATATTCGCAAATATTATAAACATGCAACGTCTTTCAAGTCGTTGTTAATATAAAGTTAATTACCACCAGATCGCTAATTTCAATAAATAATGATAAACGAAGAGAATGACGTTATATCTATTTGAGATATATTATTATTATTATATAATTTTCAGTTTAATAATAATAATTTACTTTATTCGATTATACTTGTCATGTTTCTTAATGATCGATTTAGTCGCGCGTCAAGTGGCTCTCGTGTACGCACAACTGGACTTGATTCGATTCGCAGTCCGTGATATATAAAATGTACGTCTATGAAAATCTTGATACGTCGAATGTTATTAAAATGTCGAATGACCGAAGAAGATATAAAACATATTGTCTTAGCAAATAAGATAAATTGCATGTTTAAACAGATGTGTTCGCGTTATTTCATCTTGCACATTGCATTCATCTTGCAAAATGGAACGCGTTTCGTTCGATGTTCAAGAATTTCTCACGTCTGTTAAAATGTCGAATAGGGCGCTGTGACGACAAATGGTCAGGAATGTGCGGCAATCGGCGCTGATATCTTAGCTAAAAATGGTTCAGCAGTGGATGCGACAATAGCAGCACTCCTGTGCGAAGGCATCGCGTCCTTGCATAGGTATAATCTCTTTTTCTTTTAATCTTAATTTTTAGTACTTATTTAGTACCCATTATCCAAGTGCTAATAAAAGAGAAATCGTTTTAAGAAGCAGAGGAAAATAATGAAAAAATTAATATATCTATGAGATACATCGCAATCATTCATGAGTGAAAAATATTGCGACTAACGGAAAGTTAGATAGATAGTTAACATAGATAGTTTCAACAATATTTTACACTATGTTTCGCAAACTAAATTATATATATATATATATGTTAACATCTGTTCTCTCAGTATGGGTTTAGGTGGTGGATTTCTCATGACTATATGGGACGCGAAGAACAAGAAGGCGGACTTTTTAGACGCGAGAGAGATTGCACCGTTGGCTGCGACGGAGGACATGTTCGACAGCAATGCCGAGCTTTCTATGTATGGTAAGATTCCTTTTCACGATAAACTTCACCGATACTCTTAAATATGAGTACCAGAGTGATATATTACTTTGATATCTTAGATTGTTCGGGAAGTACTTAATTAGTACTTAAATCCTCCATCTAATCTACTTCACGTATCGTGATATCGATAACAATGCGTAATCATTCGCACGTGCAATTTAATAATGTGCGAATTATGTTATTCATTGCGTGTACATCAACTTTCACGCGTCCCTCTTGAAATTAACTTCGGTTAATCTTGAAACACGTAAGTGAGTGAGATTCACGTGGCGCTCGACAGGTGGTTTATCGATCGCGGTGCCAGGTGAGGTCATGGGATATTGGGAGGCGCACCAAAAGTATGGAAGATTAAACTGGGCCGATTTGTTCGAGTCTGCGATTGCATTGTGCGAAAAGGGATCTATTGTGAACGATTATCTCGCCGCGTATTTACTCGAAAAGGCGCCTATGATAAAAAAGGAGAGCACTTTAGCAGAAATACTCATCAACCCTGTCACCAACGAACCGTGGGTCGTAAGTACAATCTAAGTTTACTTTTAGAATCATGTGTAATATATAGAATTTAGCTTTATTTAGTAAATTCCTCGCGGAAAAGAGCCGTGTGGTAAAAGGAAAAAATTTCGCAGGCAGGAGACAGGATAAAACGACCGAAACTGGCAAAGACGCTGAGACTATTAGCTATAAACGGCCCTAACATATTTTATAACGGCGTTATCGCTGACGAGTTGGTCAAGGAAATCGCGAGATTTAAAGGAATAATTACGAAACGGGATTTCGAGACGTACAAGTGAGTATTTTCTTCGCTCGAATCTTGATATTTCCGACTCTCTCTCTCTCTCTCTCTCTCTCTCTCTCTCTCTCTCTCTCTCTCTCTCTTTCTCAAGTTCGTAAAAATTATGACGGTCTATTATTTTCGGCAAGATAAGCTGCGAGAGATTATATATTTTATGCAATTTTTTTATGAAATTTCGTGATAGTACATAGACAAAAAATATTATCACGGATTAAGGCGACATGTTGCAGATAATATTTAATGAAAAGGATATTATATAATAATCTCCGGGTGGTCTCGAAATAATCGGCTGCGCAGTCGCGAAGCGTTATTATTAAGAATGATTGTTTTGATACATTGAAGCTCGCTGTGTTCCTAATATTGAGACGAAGGACGCACAGCAAGAGAAAAAAAGAAAAATTAATTCCTTACACGTGCGCAAACATCGTTTTATTGATCGAATTAACAACAGAACTTCGCATTATCTACCATTGCTCGGCTTATGGATTGATGAAAACGACAACGAATGTTTGATATAAATCGATATTGTGTTATCGAATGAAAAAATTATCGAACTAAGTATAGAAGCGAATTTTGGATTCCGGCAGGTTCCTTCACCGATAATTTTTTTCGTTCTAGAACGCGATTCATGGCGCGAATATAGTGAATTTTCGATATGATACAGACGCTCCGATACCGATTGTGACGTTTTAAGATATAAGGCAAAGAACTAGCGAAATAATTCCTCGATGACACCGCAAATTTTTCCCAGAGCCGTATGGAGGAAGCCGATCACGATAAAAATAGGAAATCTGACGATTCACAGCGCCCCGCCGCCAGGTTCGGGTGCCGTTTTAACTTTCATATTGAATGTTCTTCACCGGTTGATACCGGTAAGTAACGAGCACATAATGTGGCAGCGTATAGTAGAGACTTTTAAGTGGGCTTACGCAAGAAGAACCGAGCTGGGAGATCCTGAATTCGTCGATAACATAGGTGAGATTATTTATATATACGTACGATTATCCGCGCGCCGGATGTTATAAAGTTTGTTTAACCTGATACGACGTATCTTGCAATTTATCAAATATAAACGAAATAATAAATACTAAAATCAATAAATATCGAGATGCAAGATATCATACTTGTAACGACAACGCTATATATAATTTCGATAAGAATACCGGAAGATCGACGTTATTTATATTAGCCGATAAGACCGGTAATGACATATTTGACAGTTACCGCCGAGTTTCACAGGAAATGATAATTGTATATTAACTAATTATCAATAACAAGACAAAGTACACAAGGGGCATTGAAAATACTCCAGCCAGAAGGACGGACTACACTGATAGAAAATTATAGTTGAATTAACCAAAAAGTAAATAACTAAACGCGTTTCGATTAAAGGAAACAGTATTTCTGATTATGATAAAATTCTTATTTAACGTATTAAAGTTCTTATAATCAGAAATTCTGTTTTATTCAACCAAAACACGCTTGGTTGCCTACTTTCTGGTTAATTCAATTATAATTTTTTATCAGTGTATCGGACTGGGCTGAAATTTGATAAACAGAAAGACAGAAGACCAAATGATCCTAATTTATTGACAAAAAATAACCATAAGTTCATACAGGATAGCTCATATGGCCTAAATGTGTGTTCTATAACCTTTGAATCCAATCAGATAGGTCCGTCTAGATGGAGCGTTTCCAAGAGGCCTCTTAATGTATTTACTCAGATATTATGTAAACACATCGTTTCGATCTCGAGAATGCGTCATTTTACACACAATGGCATTTTATCTCTACCGTGCGGTTTCTTAGATGTCGATGTGTGCCGATCGCTAAAGATAATTAATGGATGAAGAGCGAAACGGTGTTGAGTAGTTCCTCCTACGTTTGCGATACTTTTTTTTCACGTGTCACCACAGTGACACGTGTCTTGATTCGTGCATTTTTTCTGCGAATTATCGTGTTAAACATTACAACTGATAATTGGCCGTTCAAGTGACGCAGTATGACTAACGTAGCGCAACGCGTTTCGTTTAATCAGCGAAATATATTATGCGAAACAATTTCGACAAGTTTCTTTGCGATTTTTTTAGTATTTTCTAAGTTTCTTTAAGTGAAATTTCATTCGAAATACAGAGTGACTATCAAGTCACTCGAAATCAAATGATTTTTAACTTATATCGAGCGAATTCTTCCACTTTGAATCGTCGAGTATTTTCATTAAAAATTCAAGAGCGAATCTATGATATAACTCCATCATAACTGGAGTCAGTTTCATTCCAATCGATTGAAACATTCCTATTATTCAGCGATTCCAATATTTTTACTATCGCTTACTATTGCTTCAAGTAAATTTTCATTCGTTTTGAATGACATTTCGCGTCCGAAAAAAATTTCTAAAGTATAATACAAATATGAATCTCGTCAATTGCGAGCGCTTAAATGCAACAGTAACAATGCAAAACGATGGTATTATTTCATTGCAGACGAGGTGATCGCCAATTTAACGTCAAACGATTACGCGGATATGATACGGGATAAGATAAGCGACTACTCCACGAGCCAATATCCAGAGGATTACGGTGCCATTACCGAAGGATTCGAGGACGGGGGGACTGCTCATATCTCCGTCCTTGCTCCCGACGGTTCCGCTGTTTCCGTTACGTCAACTATTAATCAAGTGTGAGTAATTAATTCAACAATAGAAGTTAAAGGTATAAATGTGGCAAATTACTCGCGAGTAAATCGAGAGATACGATGAATTAAATGTATTCAATTATAAATCATAAATTAAAAAATCAATGCAAGCCGGCGTACGCTGATAATGAGACAATATTATAATAAGCAAAATAACGTACATGCGCTGAGAGAAAAAGTAATTGAACTAACGAAATTTCGTTTAAATAAACACAACTTTTTCGAGCGTAACGTTTAGTTCATTAGGTAAATTATATAATTCCTATAATGAGTTATCAGTTAATTGAACTGCGATCAGCAACTATCGCAACATATTGTTGCGCCAAGGCGTAATTTGTTTAATGAACATAACAGTCTTTTTCTCGGTGTGCACAATGCACGCAATTCCGAGTGAAAATAATAATTTGTTCTCCGACGGAGAAATTATCACCGTAATAAATGTACGACTTCATTTTAGTTTTAACACAGAGATTCAGCAGTGTCGTTTCCTTTCTCGAAATTTTTCGCGCTAACCACGCTTCATGTCCACACCGTGGATTATACGATTCGGACGCATCAAAAATTGAAAAAGAGAGATACGATCGCACCGTCTCGCTTCCGAGATACTCGATATTATTCCGATCCAATCGAAAATACGGCTCGTATCTACTCGAAAAATGGAACGATTTGAGCGGCTCTCGGCGAAATCTTACACGAGCGATCCCGCGGAATAACGCGGAATAAAACTACGTCCAGTTCCACCACGTGGCATCTTTATTTAACAGGCTGGGCGCGATGATACGCTCGAATTCCACCGGTATAATATTTAACGACGAGATGGACGACTTCAGTTCGCCCAATATAACCAACGGCTTCGGACTCCCGCCGTCGCCGGCGAACTTCATCCAACCCCGCAAACGACCATTGAGCTCCATGTGCCCATCCATAGTGGTAAGACCATTCATATCTACAGTAACGTGAACGTTAATGTATCCACGGGGAAGATTTTATGGGAGAAATTCGAAGAACAGTATAAACATAAAAAGAGATAAAGTGTCGCGGAGACGGCGATGAAATTAAATCGTTACAATGAATTTTTGCGATCGACGAATGCGATAACACGTGTTCATCGATTCCAAGAATCGCTCGGCTCAGTTATATATAATTACAATTTGTAATGCACGCGATCGTTATGGTAATTTTCCGCGTCACCGTCGCTCCCCACGAAGAAAACCTCGCTGACGTCTTTAAACGCGCACGTGATTGCAAATGATAGATTCGATTACGGGATCATAAACAGATCCTTCGACTGCATAAGAAAATTTAGATTGCGATAAATCGGACGATAAGCTGCACGGTATACTGGGATAAATCCGCGGTTCGCGGTAAATCCGAGACTTCTCGATAGACATGTCAGAGTTAAGCAGTGATAATATTAATGTGGATACGAGTACTTCCAATGAAAAATTCAGAAAAACTGCAAGGTGTCGATTTAAATTGAAATGAATTGTACGATCTCTTTCAGCTCGACGCGAACAACGACGTGAGATTAGTGATAGGTGCGGCTGGGGGAACAAAAATCACAAGTGGCGTCGCAATTGGAATGATTCTGAACCTTTTCAACGGCTACAACATAAAAGAGGCGATTGACGCGCACCGGCTTCATCATCAAGTGAGTATATGAGCGTTTGAACAAGCAAGAAATCTGAATCGATTAGCGTTACGACGTTACGATAAAAAATTATTTTTAATCTCGAACAACGCTCGCTTTTGGATAATTTTATGAGATGTTTGGTGATGAACAAAGCGATATTTTTAATTAAAAACTTATTAATCCCCGTGATATACCATTATGGTATTAATTAAATTAAGAGATTACATATAAATTATTCTCTATTTAAGAAATAAGAAAATTTCTTCCTTGTCTTTTGGGAATCTCTAAGAAAGAATAAAAGTCATGAAATATGAATTCTTACATACAATTGGAATTGCTCTAAAAAGAAAGTAAAAAAAATAAAGTTATGTCTAATGGATTTCAATGGTATGACGAGAGTTAACGCAAAACAGGGTGTCCTAGATTAATAAGCTTCGTGAGGGCGTAGAGTATGTTGAAGTGAATAAAAAAGTCCATTTGTACCATTCTGCAAACAATATGCAAAATTACGAGTTATTAATTATTGAAAATGGCCAGAGACTTCTTTAATTAATAATTCGAAATTTTGCAGGTTGTTTGCAAAATAGCAGAGGACTTTTTCATTCACCTCAATTCGTTCTACGCCTTCATGAAATTTGTTCCTGTTGGTTTGAGACACCCTGTATAATGTCGTAATCATGCATTCTTCTTTGCATCTCCTTAAAACGCGATTTTCCAAAACTCTTTCTTATTATTTAATGGACGTAACTCAAACTTAATATCTTAATATTTTAAAAACTAAACGAAACACTTTGCAAGAAATTATTCGCTATTGATATCCATTCACGGTTATTATTGATCTAAATTAATTCTTGATAACATCTCGATAGTTCTGTTAAGAAAAAAAAAAATGTTTTAATGAAGTTTTAATGAAGCGAAAACAATGTTATCGCTGAACATTTTCTATTTAAATGATTATGGCATTAAATGAAAAATACTGTTTTCTCATACTATGTGCTATAAGAAAGGAATAATTGCATGCCGCAGAATTAGCGCTTATGATCTAATGGAAATTAAAAATATTGCAGCTGCTGCCAATGAACGTGCAGAATGAGCGCGATTTCTGCAAAGCTACGCTGTGTTACTTGAGAAAAATTGGACATAACGTCACCACTTTCAGTGGAATTGGCAGCGCTATTACAGGCATAGCTAAAGAAAAAGGATACATAACCGCAAATTCGGACTATCGTCGGCAAGGAAGATCGGCGGGATTCTAGAAATCACGTCCCCCACGTTTTACGCGGACGTCCTTGTAATGCTGAGAATTCCTCTGTACTACCGCAGTTCTCCGGGGAACTGTTGCTAATGATTTTGAGCCTACGTCTGTTCTCTACGGCATGGAATCTTTATCGCCATGTGTCCCATTTCAAGAAAGAGAAAGAGAGAGAGAGAGAGAGAGAGAGAGAGAAAGAGTGTAGATCCATGCATAAAGTGCGCTTCTCGAAATTACAAAGTCGTCCCCATAGGATGCGATATTAGACAATTTTTATATGTAAATATCGAAGTTAATTTTCAATTTTATGATTATTTTAAGATAAAGTTTATGTACATTTTTCTTTATACATCAAAGCGAATTCGAGTCAAATCGTTTGAGTCTGAATGTTACAACGTATGTCACATCGATTTCACATCGACACGAAAAATGCAACAAAAATTATTTATCTCTCTGAATTATCATTAGGTCGTACTACGTTACGATGATATCGACGAACGTAGGAACACTGTAACAGTTTCCGTCTGTATTTTCCGTTCGGCTGTAAATACTTAACGCAGTTAAGCGACCGCACGTGTGTGTACTCGTATTATTAACATTCACGGATCATCGCATTTGTACATATTTCGTTATCACGTTTAATTAAAATGATGGAGATATGGATGGTATGAGGATAATTCATATCTACGATCAAGTACAAATTAATACTTACCATTTCTGGATTCTTCTCGCGAATAACACTTTCCTAGAGTAGAACAGAACAAAATCGTACATACCAATAGTCAGTAATGTAGGATCCTACGCTGGATGACGCAGAATATACGAACACTTGGTTGTCCGTATAACAAAGTAAATGAAGTATTGCGTGTAACCGCACGAAATAATATCATATAATATTGTCATGTGTGATATATATTTTCTTGTAATAAAAGATAAAACCGCTTATGGTATTACGTAAATAATAATTATTGATGTTTAAATATATTCGTCTTTTTGTATCATTTAATCAATGATTTGAGATCTAATCAATCGATTCCCTCTTCCAGTCAAGGCTCTCGCGCGCGCAAAATCAGAATTTGGATTAAAATATCATTAATCAGATAAAATGAGCAATTTAATTTCAATTAAATGCGTTAGCAATCTGATAATGTAGATATATATTTCACTTTCAATCACACCTGTATAAATTTTATATGAAAATGAAATTAACTGTACTCTACAAAGGCTACCACGCGCTATTGATCATTATGTTCTTTTTAAAATAATCTTGCGCTGCTTAAATAATCAATTTTCGTGTAGTAATTTTGGCAATAACTTTGAAAATCTACAATTTAAATATATAGTACATGCAATATATACACAATATAACACTTCGTAGGTGTTGAAATTGTACACTCATCATTTTGCGAAACAACAAAATAATGTGGTTGGTATCGAAAAAATACTGTACGTCAGAAAAAAAATTGTAATAAGCTAAGTGAAAATCGCACTGATTTTTCGCAAAATACCAATTATTAGAAAACCACCGCCTTAAATATGTATTTTTGACTCACCAAAATACAGGAAACTTAGGATTAGCCATGTTCTGCTACAGATCTGAAGCAAAAAATATAATGTCGACAATTAGATACGAAAATTAATGATTTAACGAGAAAAATATGCATCAGCACAAGCGTGTTAACCTTTTGCGATCGTTATAATTCAACGATTTTTATTTCAACAACTATGTCCTAATTTTCGATTGCAAAGAGTTAATAAATGTAACAGAACAGGATGTTTATAAACTTACCTTCGAGCTGATCCTGCTTGGTCTGAATTGGATCCTCCGGTACAGCATCTTCACCTATCGAAACTGCACTATCCAGAGATCGCATTCGCATGTTTGGTCATAGGTTTCGTTAGAGCTGAGACAAAAAACAATTTTTGTGGTTTATTATATTATTAATTATATATGAGAGATCAACGTATAAAAAATGCAGAAACTTAAGACAGTTTATTTTTCTTTGAAACCGATGAAAATGACATATGGTGATTACCAAGAATCGAGAATGCTGTCATTGTACGAGATAATGTTAACACGATGATTGTGCTTACGAATATAACATGTTTCACGCATACTTCGACTGACTCGAAAAAATCAGGAATCATGCACGATATCTCTCGTGCCTTTTACTTTCGCACCAAGGACTTATAATCGCTCGGAAAGTATATATATATATATATATATATATGTATTAAAATTACCGAAGCCTTGTTTCTCGTAATGTTATCTTTTCATTATCTTAACAAGCTTTATTTTTATCGCGTAATATTAATATTACATATTCTTTTATTTAATTCTCCTTTGACATTCGAACTGTCAAAATGCATCATTTTCGCGGTGACAGCTGTTGGCATTAACCATATTATCTAAATGTCTTCGAGTGAAATCTTATTCCGAATGAATGAAAATTCACTTGAAGCAATAATGAAAATATTGCTATTTATCAAAAAGTAAATGTTTCGCTCCAGTTTGGAGTGGATTTTGGCTTTGCACAAATAAATATTTCAATCGATTAAAGTGAATTTGCCCCCGTGACGATGGAATACATCAGATCTATTTTTCAATTTCGTGCAAAAATATCCAATCAATGATTCTGAGTGGAGGATTCATTCTATACGAATGAAATAATATTTAGTTTCGAGATTGTCGTTCGCTTTCGAGTGAAATTTCACGACAAGAAATTTAGAGAGTAAGCAACGACTTGCATCGAGATTGAGATAACTAATTGGCATTACGAGAAATAAACAATGACATAATACTCTTTTCTTAAAATAGAATTTTAAAAACAGAAATGTCACGTTGGTGCGAAACTTCTGTTTTAAATACATATTCTAGATTCTTGGAGAAACAATTACGATAAAAATGTTGGGATACGTGGAAATATAAGAGTGCATAGGTTGAGAATAAAAGTTAAATTCACTTTGATTGATCGGACGTTACTTTATAAGTAGTCACAAAAAGTAGAAGTAATTAGGCTGTTAATGTCAATATCACTTGTATCTTTTTTTTACCATCAATTTTCCCGTATTTTCGCGTATATTCATGCGTCAGCGATCTGTTAAAATGCGCAAAAATAATTTTTCCAGTAACTCAAACAAGTTTCATGATGCATTATGATAAGTAAAATCGACTAGCTTATAATTCAATACCGATTTTCAAATGAGCGAATTAGCAGATTAATGCTTGCAATCATAAATCACCCGGCAAAATTGCATACTCGTAACAATGTACGTGTTGTGACACACATGTGCATATATGTGTGGTAAATGTATCAGAAATTTGGCAGCCCATATTAGGCCATTATCATCCCAAATGAAATGAAATGTTTCAATTAAAACATAGTTACAATAATCAGAGAGAATAGATATAGCTAATATGTATAGAGTTAATAGTTCTGCTAGTGGCAAACTTAAAAAAACAAGACAATACAGATCGATTTAAGGACAGTCATCAGAGAGACTTTCTTCCGCGCCACAAGGTTTTCCGCTACCATAGTAATTGGCATTCTTCTTGAGTCTCTACCTTAACCATTGCACTCGCCGCACGTCGCGAATATAGAGTGTACGTCTTTTTCCGTTAGCACAAACTTGGCCTTCGTTAACAACATCCGCGTATTAATGCCGGCACGCGTCTCCTTCCGCGTTCATCAGTGAAGCAGTATTTAGTCGAGTCGAGTTCCATTCATTACTTCTGAATGAATTTATAAAATAACAACAAAATGATACAATGGATGTAAGATAAATGTATGTTACCTGTTAATAATATGAGAATTATTTGTTATATTCTGTAATATACCCGGCACGTTATAGTCTTCAATTTTCTCAGCCAATTTTACAGCCAAAAAAATTTTCGGAGAAAAACTAAATAAGACAGGATGGCTTTTTGAGTTTTTTTCAGAGAATTCAGGTTTCAAAAATTCATTTGCCTCAATATTTTCATTCAAGAAGAATCAATCAACTCTTAATTTACTTCATTGTGTATATATATATATATATAAGATATACTGTAAAAAATTTGTTGTCATACATATATAAGATATACTGTAGAAAATAAAGTAATGAAACATTTATTTCACCGCCATTTTTTCGTATCCTGCATTGATTCATTGACGCCGTGGAAAAATAAATTTTGCGCCAGTTGATTATCATCTAACATATCGGCCAATTTATCATACTGCTTTTTGCTTTTACTCCAAATACTCCAAATCTTTTGCTTTTATTCCAAATTGTTATAAGTGTTATAATTCATTTTAATTTCTATTCCAAGAATTTACTTGAAGAAGTAACTTACGCGTGAGGTATACGTGAATGATTTTTATCTCAGCATTTGCGATATACGTCAACGGTAAATATACAGAATTACGACTCGGGTCGTAAGTGGACAACATATAGCAAGTCACTGAATTAATGAAATGATTTAAAATTACATGTATTTGTTATACATCGACTTAGATCTTTTCGATTTAGAGAGACAAGTGCGCTTACGCCACGCGAAAACAATTCGAGTAAAGTTTCATAACTTTCCTGACTCATCATTCCAATTGTCCTGTTGACTCGACATAATAATTTGCGGTGTCCAGGCGCATAAACCTACGTAATATCATGCCTCACGAAAAATACATGTTACGTATAGCATATTACAAATCCTAACGATGTTTTATCGCTACTGAATATACAAGTTGCACCGTTGACTGTGGACGAAAGTGCTTTTCATTAGTCATCAAACAGCACAGAATTGAATTTACATATTCGATGTTATTGCATCTCGCGCAACATAATTTTCCAAGAATGCAGATATTACAAAGTCAATGTGTGTATATACTTTGACATGGTAATGTCGCGACCGATGAAGCGTAAATGGAACAAACAAGCGTATTTCTGACCGCGCCTGGAAATCTCAATTATGATTACGATTATTTTCATTACACGTCAGTATCATGTCGAGGGGACGAGAGAGAGCACTGTTATTGTCCGATTATTAAACGTAAAATCGACAGTGAGCTTGATAGTAAGTGATTTACGTACGTCGAACTCTGCTATTTCGTATGCGCGTCGAGTTTCGACGAGATACATCGGCCGATATGATGTTGACGTGGTTATAATAATTTCGAGAGTGTATGTTTTACGAGCATTAATCGTTATTTCTATTCGTTGTTAAAAATAGAGAGACTCGACTCGTGAGAGAATAGGAATTAGATAAGAAGGAGATAGAGACAGAGAAAGAAACACACACACACACACACACACACACACACACACACACACACACACACACACACACACA